GGGATACGCTGGGGCTGAGCTCGGGGCTGCAGAGCGGGGTGTGTGTACCCTGTGCTGCTGCCCCGGGGACCCCGAATACCCCCAGTGCCACACCGCGCTGCCCCCGGCCGGACTCCCCCCGTGCTGCGCCCTGAGCCAGCGGCCACACGCCCCGGGCCGTGCCAGACCCCAGGGCTGCCCCGCGCCGGCCACACTGGCCCCAGCCCAAGCCCAGCGCTTTGTTGCCGGCTGGACAGTGGCACTGAGGGATGTCACAGCGCTGGGCAGGAGCCAGGACACTGCTGAGGTTTCTTTCTGAAGAGAGAGGCTGTGAGCAGTGCCCAGCACCTCTCTGCAGCTGAGCAGCTCGCTGGCTTGCAGGCTGGGATGCCACGACCCATAAATGAACACTCACTGGCCCCAGAGCCAGGCCCTGAGCCCACTGTGCCCTGGGGAGAGCCCCAAGTCCCCCTGAAGTACTCAGGTGCTTGGGCAGCTGCAGAACAGCACTTTAGCTGTTGCTCTCCCCTCCAGCACTTGTGCCTCCGGGAAGCCAGGTCTCAGCCTGGGTTTATGGGCTGTCCCACCTGGGACTTCCCAAGGGCTCTTACCATGGGGCCTGTTTCTTGCCGATGAGTCTGGGGGAGCAGGGATGTGAGGGCAACACATCTGTGTGTGTTTGATGCTGCTCCTGCCTGGGAAAGACTGACAGAGGGATAGTTTCACATTTTTCATCACCACCGTTCAGCACAAGCTCAGTCAGCAGCACCGTAAAGAGCAGCAGATGTTATCAGAACGGTTCCGTGTGTTTGCTCTGGGGAGCCGGTGGGAGCTGAGGAGCAGGTCCTGGCCCTGGGGCAGCACTGGGACCTGAGGCTGGATGGGGCCTCCAGCTGCTCCCAGCAGCTCCGGCATCTGTTCCTCTGCGGGAGCTGCCCAGGAAAAAGGAAAAAAAATAAAAAAGGGGAGAGAAAGAGGAAGGAGACAAACCCCCTCCTGACGTGGAGCTCGGCAGCTGCGGCTTCTCCCTCGGGCCCCTCTCCCCGGCCGGGGGGATCGCCCGGCGGGGCCA